AACGTAGAATGCAAGTAATGACAACAATGAATTACATACCCTACATAAAATAAAAAAAATCTTATAGAAATGAATATTATTATAGAACCCCTTTTGGACGTTAAAAGGACACCAACTTCCTCTTGGAATGGTTTGGATTTTGGAACATAATAATATTTACTGGAAAAAGAAGGTGAAAAAGTATACATCTTTGGGTTTCTGAAACCCCTCTTTCATTTCGCCCGTTAAACCGGTTATTTTTCTTTTGGTAAGTGACCTTGTTCAAGACTACAAATATCAGAAATGACTTAGTCGTGTGACTCGAGCTTGAGAGTTCATATACCCAAAATTTAAGAACTCGTGTTCCTAATTAAGCATGGTTCCGCGAAATTTTACATGGTTGGGTTGGGCATTGATTAACCCAGTTCAAGCTAGGGGTACTAAGGTGAAAGGTGAAACCCTAGCTAGGAGCAACCTTGTTCAAGACTACCAACGCCAGAAATGACTTAGTCATTTGACTTGAGGTTGAGAGTTCATATACCAAAATCTAAGGACTCGTGTTCCTAAGCATGGTTTCGAGAAATTTTACATGGTTGAGTTGGTCGCGTCATTGGTTAACCCAGTTCAAGGTAGGAGTACTAAGGTGATCTTCAAGCTATGTGATGGTAATCTTCAAGCTAGCTAGCTAGCTGTCTCATACTGTCAAAAGAAGAAACTTTTTACCAACGACATATGTGATGGTACATTGAATCTATCCTCGATCATCAATCGCTCGTTTGATTTCCTCTGCTGTAGATTGAAAGATGGTGAAAGATCACAGATGGGGAAAGGAAAGTTAGAGAGACTCAAGTGAAGAGTCAAGAACACAGAAATGTAAGGGAAAAAGTTAACAAGAAGAAGAAGAAAAAACAAGGTAGAGTTACTCATTATAAATATGTCGGGGTAATAACTCGTGTGGTTAAAAACTAGACAATACAAAAAAGTAAAGAACACACAAATTTATGTGGTTCTTTAACACACGATATATATGTGTTAGTTAATATAATCAATGAGCAGGAGAGAACAAATCTCACTATATTTGAGTAGATACATGTTGAAGAGGGATGAAGAAGATATATTTATTATAACATGTTCTCCGAACGGCATAACCCTAATCCAACATGGAAAGGAATACAAACCAAACCCAAAATTAAACCAGACACTTCATCTAGATCCCAACTCACCGACTTAACAACGAGACCTCCAAAACCTTCGATCGACGACATATAATTTTCTGACGAGCTTTTTTACTACGATATTCATGCCCTTGAAACTTACATGATTGATTATGTTATCCGACCGGGGAGAGTGGGCAGTTTGGCTTGAATGCAGGGGCGGAGCTATGTTCAAGGTAGGGTGGGCCCCGGCCCCCCCGGATTGGTCTCGGCCCTAGGATATTAAGGATATTTTGTACAAATTATATAAGTATTACTTGTTCTGTAAATCCTATTATGTAAAAGGTGTATAGTCTAATGGAAGTCAAGCTTGACTTTTATTTTCAAGGACATGAGTTCAATCCACAAGATCACATTTGTCTTTTTCATTTTTTTACCAACTTTTTAATCTTCATTAATTTACTCCCCTTCTACAATTCCCCAAACAAAACCGTCATTTTTATTTTTCTTTACCAACTTTTTAATCTTCATTAATTTACTCCCCCTCTACAATTCCCCAAACAAAACCGAAATCCCCATTTATTGTGAGAGAGTACCGATAAAAGGCCATCTTTTTTATTTAGTTTAATTAATTTTAAGTCTCAATTTTCATTAACATTCCCAATTTCAAACGGAAAAATGACAGCCAAAAGTTTTAGTTTAGATGTTATTTTGAGTGATTTCAATGATCAAAGAAAGTCTTATACTTCTAAAATAATTATAAATTTTTTATTAATTAATTATTTTCGGCCCCCGGTCTCGAAATCCTGGCTCCGCCCCTGCTTGAATGTAACTACTTAGGTTGCTTTGGGAAAGGGAAGTCCATCCAGAAGCACACAAAGAAAGGACATATGGATAGATTAATCATTGGCTAGTTTGATGTAGACAACGAGCTTGCTGGCCAATTGGGGAATTGGAAGTTGGATCGTAACAGACAATCAGAACCTGGATCCAGATGGCAGGAGGTGAATGGTGCCAAGTAGGAAAGGGCGGCGCACCAAACAGACAAAACTGGAAAAAAAAAAAAAAAAACAAGAGCCATAGGGAATGTGGCGAGTGTGACAGGAAGGAACAGCGTCAGCTAGCTATAGCTCGTAAAACAAAAGAGTAAATCGACCATAATAAGAAAAGGAAAAAAGCAGAATGTTTTTCTAAAGGGACCCTTTACCTAAAAAAAGAATGCTATAACTCAACAGAGTTTGGCCTTATATATTGTGGTTGAAAGAAAATCAATCTAATATGTATATGTGTATTTTTCAACAACTCGAGTTATTGGAATTATTGGTTTATGACATGGTTTCAGAGCTATTTTATCTTTGATGTCGCGTGTTCAAGTTCCCACGATCTCCAATATTAACCGTTATCTTAAGCATATTGTATGTTGGACTGTGCAAACTTCAAGCTCATGAGTTAGCTTTCGTTTGAGGGGATGCGTAATGAAGTGGTTAAGATCCATACATGGGTCTCTCCCAACAACTCGAGTTATTGGTACCAATAAAAATTATAAGTTGTTAATTATAGTCTACATGCACACCTTCAATCTCTAGCTAACCAAGAAAATGAGATTCTATCACAAACCTAAGAAAAACTACGTCAGTTTTGTAATTTTTCATTCAACATCGTACGTTTTTAGTCGAAACGCCTTAGTTTGTATGCATAACCAATGGAACCAGGAAATTGACCTTCTGTTGTTGCCACGCCTTCTCCAACACTCTCAAACCACTCAGTCACACCACCAAACCTGCAGCTTGTCGAGCAACTCTTCGTTGATATAACCATCAGACCAAATTGACCTATCCAAACTTCAAACCTAGTTGACTACCAGGTCTCGTTCGAATTGACGAGCGTCACACATACTCTTGCACCACGTCTCAACCAACGACCATGGCTACCAGCGAATCAAGCGAACAAAAAGTTCTCCAGCTCAAATTATTGCGATCAATTAGTCTCGAACAAAATCCTACTTAAAAGAAACATTTAAAAAAAAAATTAAGTGTTGAGGCTCACACCCCACATAGATTCGGGACATTGAGTGTTTGTGTGAGAGAGAATCAGAGAAAGAAGGGCTATAGATTTTATACTTAGGATACAAAATTGCGGTGGAGAGAAGAAGAAGAATAGAGGGGTGGTGGTGGCGTGAAAATTTGGTGCAACACGCCGTCCAAACAACACAACCCTTTCTCATTCTCCTATCTATCTGCCACCCCCACGCGCACTCAATATCCTTCCTCCTTCTTCTTCTTCTTCTTCTTCTTCTTCTTCTTTGTGTATATATATACAAAGACGAAACACAGAGGAATATAGAGAAAGAAAAAGTTCTGATCTAGCTAGTTCAAGCAAAATCCATATATTAAAAAGCTTTGTTATATACAATCCCTTGGCTTCTTCTTCTTCTTCTTCTTCTTCTTCTTCTGTGATCGCCATATCTAGCGAGCTGGTACAACGGGTAGAGGAAAAAGCTGGTATACCATTGACTCAAGTGAGTATATTATATATTATTCCGATTGATCTATAAAGATAGTTTCATATTCTTCATCTCTGATATCTTTTGAGTTAATCACACTCAGATATATACAAAGGTCATTTCGTTAATGTGCTGATCACAACATGAGTTCGATCGAGTTAGGAGGGGAATCGGTTCTCTCGATATTAATCGCATTACGATATTTGAGTTATTCGTTTAACTATTTGAGTTACTGAATGGTGCATGTTTGAAATAATATCTTTTAATCGGATTAACGATATTAATTCATGTTTGGTTTAGGTATACGATTGTGTAGTATTAAATATATGTATTTTGTGGGGGTTAGGATAGAGCCATTAGAGGAAGAAGCTTAGTGGTTGGTGTGTGAAAAATTAGTGTTAGACCAAAACTAAGAAGAGGGGGACACGATGAGAGGGAGTGGAGGAGCAGTGAACTCCACTCAAAGAAACACATGTTACTATGAGAGTACATGCTTCTGGGTTGACAAACAAAGTAGTCAAGCTTTTCGGCTAATTAAAAAAATTTCCCTTTTTCTTACCCAAAAAAGAAAAAAATAATTCCCTTTTATATTTATAAGCATATTCTTTCCCATTTTTGTTTTTGGTGATCAACAAATTACTTCATACAACATTACAACTAATGAAGCCCACAAAAAAATTACCTAATTAGTAAGTCTCTAATTAAGTGGATCATATATCATCTCGTTTTCTCACATTTTGTCGATCTTATTAGATGTTATTTAAAATATTTGAACCTGCATAACTTCATATTGAAAACTAGTAGTATGAACTCCGGCTAGTTTTCAAACTTCATCAACTTTTTGGGGCTAGTATATATAGTAGTTCATCAAACCTTCTTTCACTTTGCTTAGCTAGAGTGTAGCACAAACATGGGATACATAAACATATTTAGACCCACCATAAAAGAAGTTCCATGATCATCATGGCATATATAGCTAGAAATAAATATTAATGTAGCCTATATATCTTGATATACAGGTGGATATAGTGAGGGAAGAGTCAGTTCTCGAAATAATCTATAATTTTGAGAAATTTTTATTGGATGACAAAGACAAGATCGAGACTGTAAATATGAATTTTCAATTCTCACGAATGTATCGAATATTTATGGAGATGAGGTAGAATCGTACGCATACACAACGACATCCTGGCTTGTCAAAAGAAGAAAGATATAGGGCATGATGATGATTGCCATTGTGGATACTCTTCCAATTCAATCAAAAATAGTTGTTCACACATGTGATGTCTTTCTAACTTTCTTTTCTCTCTTGCTTTCTGTGTTGCAGTCATATTGGATCCAAGAAGAAAGATAGAGAGACATAGATGGAGATGGAGATGGAATCTTGTGTTCCACCAGGGTTTAGGTTCCACCCAACGGAAGAAGAACTCGTGGGTTACTATCTCAAGAGGAAGATTAGCTCTTTGAAAATCGATTTGGATGTCATCGCCGACATCGATCTTTATAAGATGGAGCCATGGGACATCCAAGGTATATATACCATTTCTCATTAATTGTACTATCAAATGCAGTAATTGCATGAGAATTATGAATATGGATAAAAACCCGTAATTCGAGTAGGATAATAGACGTGCACGATATATCCATCCTCGATCTGATATGTTCAGGGGCGGAGCTACATTGTAGCTAGGGTGCCCCCTCCTCCCGGGGATTGGTCTCGGTCCCTAGGTCCTTAAGGATATTTAGTACAAATTTTATAAGTAGAACTTGTTCTGTAATTTCTGTCATGTAATAACTATGTGGTTTAATGGTAGCCAAGTAGTTTAACGTGTGTCTTAAAGCACACGGGTTTGATCTAATTTTTTTTAATTATTTTTGGCCCCCCAATCTCGAAATCCTGGCTCCGCCCCTGAATCTGTTGTCATCACTATTTTAGACAATTCTTTGATTATTTAAAATATATCTCGATGAAAATTCGTGCTATTGTATTATCAAACCATTAAAAATTATTAAAAATTTCATTTAGTCATCTCAATAACTCAACTAGTTAGATATACATTTGTTAGCTCATAATCCAATATTAGGAAAGGTTAATTTTTATTCCATAGTGCAAATATTTGTTCACATTTTATCAGTACGCCAAACTTTGTCATCGTAATTATCGACTTAATCCAATGAATAATAATTGCTTAATGGCGGTATATTATATATGTTTTTTGTACACATTATTATATATATATATATATATATATATATATTATATGAGAATAATTACTGACCATATCATTTTTTAATGATGAATTACGTACGTGGGTACAGCGACATGCAATCTAGGGTACGACTCACAGACGGAGTGGTACTTCTTCAGCCACAAGGACAGGAAGTACCCGACCGGAACCCGGACCAACCGGGCGACGGCGGCCGGGTTCTGGAAGGCGACCGGACGGGACAAGGCGGTGCTGTCGAAGAACAAGATCATCGGAATGAGGAAGACGCTCGTCTTCTACGGCGGGCGCGCTCCCAATGGAAGGAAGAGCGACTGGATCATACATGAGTATCGCCTCCAGACTTTCCAAAATGCAACACCTCAGGTACCTAATTAATATATATATATGGTGCCTTCTACGGTACTCCGAGTGAAATTCGGGGTACCGCATATCTTGAGTATGAAAACGCTATCTAGCCCTCGAATTAGCAGGATTTTTGGGCATGATACTATACCCTAACTCTTAATGAGTGAACCCTAGGTCCTAATTATCTAAATCATAAACTATAAACCCAAAGATGGTGCATTAATTTTTTTGCCTATATTTGGACGAATCATAACCGTCGATTATTGTTTCTAATTAAATTGATCTTGGGGTATAAGATTTAGAGAATTAAGACCTAGATTTTGATCTTTAAGGGTTAGAGTATAGTATCATGTCCGAAAGATCGGTCAATTCAACTTCTGGATAGCGTTTTCTTACTCAAGGTATGCGGTACCCCGGATTTCACCCTGGGTACCGTAGAACTCCCCATATATATATATATATATATGTATATGGTGCCTTCTACGGTACTCCGAGTGAATCCGGGGTACCGCTTATCTTGAGCATGAAAATGCTATCTAGACCTCGAATTAGCAGGATTTTTGGGCATGATACTATACCCTAACCCTTTATGAGTGAACCCTAGGTCCTAATTATCTAAATCATAAACTATAAACCCTAAGATGGTGCATTGATTTTTTTTGCCTATATTTGGACGAATTATAACCGTCGATTATTGTTTCTAATTAAATTGATCTTTGGATATAAGATTTAGAGAATTAAGACCTAGATTTTGATCTTTAAGGGTTAGAGTATAGTATCATGTCTGAAAGATCAGTCAATTCAAGTTCTGAATAGCGTTTTCTTACTCAAGGTATGCGATACCCCGGATTTCATCCTGAGTACCATAGAACTCTCCACATATATATATCGATTCCTCTAGTCAACTGCATGACATAACCTATACATTTCAGCTCTGAACCCATTAGGATGAGATGAAGTTCTTCTCGTAAGGAAGTGATTAAAATATATCCATGATTTCTCTTTAACAATTCAAATTATTGGGATCCGTCGGTTTACGATACGGTATCAGAACCGGTTTGTCCTTAAAATCACGTGTTCAAGTAGTCTGCGCACGTACGACTCCTAATGTTAACTTCTTTCTTTAACCACATGACATGGTGGATCTGTGCAAACTTCAAGTCTCATGAGTTGACTTTCACTTGAAGGACATGTAAGGATCGAAAGTGGTTAATATCCATACATATACCTCTCGCATCAACTCGAGTTATTTGGAGTTTGAGATGGGGGGACCAGCTGGTTCTTGACTGTGGTATCGGAGCTATTTTGTCATTGAGGTCACGTGTTTAAAACCTCATGATGACCCAATATTAAATAGTTTTCAAGCACGTGGTATGTCAGGCTTGTGCAAACTTCAAATCTATGAGTTGGCTTTCATTTAAATGGGCATGTAAGAAAGTGAGTGAAATCACATTTATCAACAACTCGAATTATTGAAACTATTTGGTTTATGTCATCTTTCCCTCCATGTGCATGCAGGAAGAAGGATGGGTTGTATGCAGGGCATTCAAGAAGCCGATCCCCAACCAAAGGCAAGGCTTTGATCACCACCAATGGAACCACCATGGCTACAATCCCCTACACTCATCACCATCTGATCATCATCATCATCATCATCATCATAAAAGGAATGGTGGGAATTCGACGAGCAAGAACTTGGAGGAGTTGCTTGTGTCCCAAGAAGACAATATCATCAACGACTCGAGCTCGTCGCTGATCTTCTCGTCGTCGTTCCCGATGTTAATGCTTGATTCCGAAAGTGGTGGATCGATCCAAGTCGGTGATGGTTCCCATTTTCTTGATTGTTTTACCGATGATTGATCGATCGTAGTTTGATTTCGTAATAAAATTATACGAGATCGAGTTTCTTTTCTTACATCTTGTGTGAACCTGATCTGGTTCTCCATGTATGTCATAGGTTTTTCTTTCTTTCTTTCTTTTTGGTCTTTGAGAGCCTTTAGTTTTCTTTGGGGGGGTTTGTCTTTTATGCATACCAAGGTCCCTCAAGTTGAAGTTTTTTTTTTTTTTTTGGGGGGATGCCATCTTAGAGAATCAAATGACCATGAAGAAGAAATAATGTAGAGAAAATGGTAGTTGGTAGAAGAAGGTAATGAACATAATTCAAAGGAAGTGTTGGTGAGGAGGAGACAGTGAGGGAGTTGTTTCCTTATTTTGTGTGGTTTATGTATGACAAAGACGTATTACCTATGTTTGGCCCAGCTTTTAGAAGTGCCTTTTGGCTTCAAAAGCTGAAGCAGGGCCGAACACCTATAAAAGTTCGGCTTTTGAAAAGCCGAAAAATGCTTTTGTATAACATAAAAACAGAAGCTCCGATTTGGAGCTTCTGCGAAAAACTGTTTTGAAAATACAAGATTATCCTTACCGTATTTTAATTTTATTTCATAAAATATAATTTTCTTTCATTTATATCATTTTAAAAATAAAATAAATTATAAAATCATATTATTTAATATAAACGAAATCTAACAGGATCCATTTTGACTACTTTTTTTGTTTAGAATTTTTATTTTATATTATAAGTCCTTTATAGTCATTTTACACAACCTCTCATATTAAAAATCACTTCTAATAATTTTATAGCCAAACACTCAACTGCGTTTTTTTAAAAGTACTTATCTAAAAGCTCCAGCCAAAAGCTGCTTCTGCAAAAGCTACAGCCGGGCCAAACTAAGCTATTATCCGAAGATGTAATTTTGGACTGGTATTACAAATTAAGAAGACCAAGTGCATGTCATGTAATAACAAAAAATACTAATTTAATATAATACATGTATATGTTCAATTGATATATGATCGAGATGGTGTGGTTTGGTTTCTTCTAGGCAGTGTTTGACATTTTTTTCCTTGCCTATAAGTAGTGGCAAAGGCAGAAACTGAAACTACTCATGTTATCTTTTTAAAATATAAATATACCATAATATATATTTAATTAGTAAATATAATTAAATTTAATAATATCCAAGTAATTCATTTACAGATAAGGAAATAATCGATTATTACAATGCAAATGGATGAAATAATCGATTCATAAACAACCACGATAGGTTTTCATATTATGGAAGAAATGCAAATGGACAAGTTTTAAGTAAGTTTTTTCAATATATCCCATAAAATAATTATTATCAAACTAATCTTCAATTCGATTTTTCTTTTTCTTGATGGTTGTTTGGCAGAGGAGAATTTTTGAATGAATCCTTTTTTTACCCCTGCCCCTTTAATTACCCCTGTTGCTGGAAATGTGGATTGCTGCTGTGAAAAATCGAAGAGGGCCAAGGAGTAAAGAGATTGAATTAGGCTTTTATGCAATTAGGATTTCGTTTATTGAATAAATACGTTTTTGTCAACCTATAAGCAAATTATCTGATGTTTTGTAGTGGTAAAACTTGTTTGTGTTAACTATTGGTGGTGGGTTCAATATACAGATCAACAATAAGTGAGCTGCCTTTTTTCCAACCCAAAAAATACTCCTGTTCTGGGACAAGGGCAATCAAACAAAGGAGAGGAGCGAGATGATAGGCCAAACCAAAAACCAAAAGGACAAGTCCCAAACAAATTCTACACATCCTAACATATGCGCTTCCATCTATACGTTTATACTTCTACCACTATTTGTCTAGTTATAAATTTAATTGATATAATTCTAATAAGTGGGACAATCTTGGGGCGGATTTGGAAGACACAAAACTGGGTAGTGTTTGAGGGTAAGCAGATGCTCATCCCTTTACGAGATGTTGGTGAGTCGTCGACGCATATGCAGGGAATTTCGCAGTTGCCACCAGGTCACGTGTGCTACTTTGATGGGGCGGTTAGAGCAGGTGAGCGGTCAGCCATGGGAATGGTACTTTGTGACTCAACAGGGGCGTTCGTTAGTGCGAGAGGTGGGTGGCTTCAAGGTGTGCCGGAGCCAGCTATGGTGGAATTGGTAGCGTTGCGAGAGTCCATTCGGTGGTGTGTCGGCGCGGGATTTACGACAATGCTTCTGGCAGGTGATGCGAAGGGGATCATTGATAAAGTCAGAGTAGGAGTGGTAAATGATGCTCTAGGCGGAGCTATTTTCCAGGAAATCAAGTGGATACTCCGAGATAATCTGGGATTCTCAGTGCATTTTGTAGGCAGACAGAACAATAGGGCAGCCCATTTAGTGGCTAGAAAAGCCCTCTCTTTGTCTCTTACTTTGAGCGGTTTTGATTTTTGCGCTTGGCTCCGTTTGGATTTTTAAACGTTGTATCTATGTTGTTCTTGTTAATGCAAGCTATCTTTGGTTTAAAAAAAAAAGACAATCCAAGTTGTTACCAACGCCAATCTAATAATAACAGGTTGGTTTTTGACTAACTGATCTTTATGAGTTGTACTGATTAGTAGCTAATTTATTTTGGGAGTTACTAATTGTCGCCCTAATTTATTTTGATCGCCCTAAATTAAAAATCACAATTACCTTTTTAGCCTTCTGTCGTTTTTATTGTTGGGATATATTTTATTCTAATAAAAAAATCCACCAACAAAGAAAAAATTGACGGTTGGCATTACCCTCTGGCCGCCGCCTCCGATTCCCCCACCACCGCCCGCCGTCATACTCTTGGGTCGGATATACATGGGCGAGGCACAGACGTGATGATAACAGAGGATTCATCACCAACATGACTTTGGGAGATTAATTAAGCTGGATGACAATGTTTGCCAAAATTATCCCCTTTATGCAATTCTTTTCCCCCAACCGAGTGACCGAGATTCAACGCATCCCTGTAGAACTGGGGAATGACTAAATACATAGAGAAGGAAGGCGTAATTAGCGATATAATCTTTGAAGAAGAAGGAATGGTGATTAATCTAGCAGCCGACCCTTTGACAGACGTCACATGCAGTGAGTGAGAAGGAACGGCGATAGAGGGTTTTGGGAGTTGTGTAGGTTGGCCGCAGTTGTGGATGGTATCACCGGTGATTAAAGAAAGTGCAGGAAATCAACGATGGAG